ATTTTTTATTAATTTCATTTTTATTATTCTATTAATTTTTTTCATCTGTGTTATGGTCCAACAGGTAAAAATGGTACATCTGATCACTTAGTAAAGTACCAGCACACCTCAACAAGACACATGATTAACAAGACAAAGAATCATTAATATCTGGAGCAAAACGCTGCAGGACGACGCACACGCTCAACATTAATACTGTTTGATTACATCACTAACACTAGTAATGGTGACGCTCACTTCTGTTAGCAAACATTCTGGAGTGTGCTAAAGACCAGAACAGACAGTTTGGAGACACAAGCTTGTTTAAAGACAGAGGAATTTATTTGTTTTGGTGTTCTGATCTGAAGATTTTTACAAAAAGAAGTCTGCGTGAGATCTTGACATCGTTTTACACTGGAAGTCTTCATCTGTCCACAGGCTTTCAGAGGAATCCATCCGTGTGATGTCAGAGAATGAGGCACAAGCAGGAAGATCCTGTTCATTAAAAATGTCTTACGGCACGCGTGTCCTGCTGCGTTTACGATTAAAAGGCCAGTGCAGGTCGCCATGTAGTCAGACAGGTCAGAGGTCACCGAGTCAGATCGGTGGCCAGCTTTTACTGACCTCTGCATGAAGAGACTCAGGGATCCACTGACAAAACGCTGACAGCAGATCTATAGTGGGAAATAAAGTCATTTTTGTCTCTTTCCACACTTTATATTATGTTATATTTATATTAAATTACATTCAATATATACACTGCCGTTCAAAAGTTTAGGGTCAGTATGATTTTTTTTTTTTTGAAAGTAGCTCACAAAGGCTGCATTTATTTGTTGAAAAATACAGCAAAAACAATAATATTGTGAAATATTACAATTTTAAAAAAGGTAATTGTGACATTTTATCTCACAATTTCTAAATTTTTTCTTGCAATTCTGGGTTTATGTCTCACAATTCAGACTTTGTTTCTCGCAATTCTGAGAACAAAAGTCAGACTTGTGAGATATAGATTCAAATTACCTTTCTGATTTTTTTTATTCCGTGGTGTGAACAAAAATAACAGAATGCTGTGAAGTCAGAGAAAAAAAAATTCAGAGAAACAAAATGTCAAAATTCTGAGAAAAAAGTATTTTTATCTTGCACTTGTGAGCTTACATTTCGCAATTCTTGCTTTTTTCTTGTAATTCTGAAAAAAAGGCAAAATTGCGAAATATAAACTTACAATTACCTTTTTTTTTTATTACATTTTTTTTTAACAGGAAACAGAAATCTTGTGTAATATTATAAATGTCCATTTTTGATCAAATTAATGTGATACTGATTCTAAATACTGATTCTAAACTTTTGAACGGTAGTTTATCATGATAGGTTTGCACTGCATGGTCTGTAATCCAGTAAAATCAATTTCCACTAAATGACCACAAGAAAGCAAGACATTTTCATATGCATAGCAACCTACATCTTTCATCTTTCTTCCACGCAGCTTCTAAAGAGGTTCTGTTGTTGACTTTCTCTGACACCAGCGTCGTCAGAAGAGTTTCAGTCCGCGGCTGCAGCCTGAGATCAACAGCATGAGATTATACAACAACAACTCTATTTACACTCCATACAAACGTTTAAGTGTGCAATAGATCTTACTTGGCCCACGTCTTCAACATGGTGGAGGGTGACGACAGTAAACATCTGCTGAACTGCTGGATCTTGGGAGAAACCTGCAGAAATTCAGCCAGGACTAAGTTCACACATCACTTTCTACAGCAACACCGTGGTTTATGAATATGCTATCATGAATCACGAATACGGTATATTTGATGTATTTACACTGCTGTTTAAAGTTTTGGGTTTGTACGATTTTTTTTTTTGACTGATAGAAATTAATACTTTTATTCAGCTAGGATGCATTAAATTGATCAAAAGTGACAGTAAAGACATTTATAGTGATACAAAAGATTTCTATTTCAAATAAATGCTGTTCTTTTGAACTTTATGTTCATCAAAAAATCACGGTTTCCATAAAAATATGAAGCAGCACAAAAAATCAGGGTTTCCACAAAAATATGAAGCAGCACAACAGTTTTCAACATTGA